ATAAATTGACAACTTAATGATGAATGTGATAAATTAATGGAACCGTCACGAAAAGTTTCTCAGAAGAAACTCTATAAAATACTCGTCCATAGCTCAAGTTTCCATTGAGACGAGACTAGAGTCAGCTGCCTAGTAGATTTTATTGTATGCTTCGAGATACTTGGAAAATTATATGACTCGTCTTCGTGTATTAATGAAGCAGCAATCCTCCGAATACGTCATCAGTTCGTCATGCAGCTATTACGTCATTGTTGTTTTGCAACCGCCATCCCTAGAAATCCATAGAAAAGAAAAGGTCAATTTCGTATGTTCGTGGGTGCATGTGTGTGTGTGTGTGGGTTCGACTAAGGCTTGGCGATTTAAAGTCATTCCTTCTCACTAACAATCCGAATGCTAATTGAGCTGAACTCCTGGAAAAAATTAGCCGAATCGAACTTTTTTAGAACATTGTGTTAGCGTCACTGCTCACTTAGGCACTCCCTTATAGCATGAGCCCTGCATAATTTCTATACGTGCCTCTTTCGCATAAATGTCGTCCGCAATGGTAGTCTGTTTCGAATATGGAGACTTCCGCAGTGCCCATTCACTAATCCCAAAATCGTTGCCATTTGCGATTGCAGATGGTTGACATTAGTTTGGTAATCTAGAGAATATTGAACTGGATTTGCTCCCTCAAGAAACCAGAGATAGTCAGACGTTTCCAGGCCTTCAGGCTGTTCACGACAAGGCTGGAGTGAGGTTTGCAGCCCTGTGACCAGTACTTCTCAAACGTCGGCGATTATTTTGATTAATCAACTTGTGATCGAAACCGTCAATACGTGACATTTCTATAGTGACTTTATGAAACAGGAATTATTTTTTCGAGTAATATTTTGCCAATTATTCGCTTCAATTATATACGTCTTTTCACATATGATCACTTATTTGCAAAGGTAATCCATGCCAAAGGTGACATTACATCAATACACAAACGTAGAACTTTTGGGGTCCCGTATTATTCCTTTAATTTCCTTCTCCTCACAAAGTGTCTTGTCTCCTCTGACGTTTAGAGCTATTTTAGTGGTAGATGTATAATGCCGTGCGATTTCTGAGTTCAAAGGCAGTTGCTTTTGTTGACGAAGAACCACCTCATGGTTCCTACATTCATTCCGTTACGAAATCCATTCCTTTCATTCGATGACAAAGTCATCCGAATGACCTGAGTTGAGATGAAGTTCGCTCTGATGACCCACCATGATGGCCGTCATCGTCGTAAACGCGAGAATGACTTGAGTATCCGTCATGCCATGTCTCCGCTGAGCCCTTGGATAAAGAACTACTCCGAGTCGATGACGTCATCGACTCTTAGTCAGTGATTACGGTACGATATCCGTTGTCTTAGTATTATCCGTCTTATCCGTCTTCACGAAGATTTATCAAGTGAGATGGCACATCATAGTCATTTGTGTCGAATTTTCTTCCGTTTTCAATCATTTTTATTCTCGTCGTTTTTCACCTGTTCGTCCCTTTAAGTTGTATTTTACGATCTAGAGTAAAACGAGTGTAATTTCTCTTTTTATTATGTTTCTCCATCAAATTATTGCTCACATCTAGTGTTATCGCGATCATATCATATGAGTGGACTGTCTCTCATTTTTTGCTTGAACAATAAGTCATATCTGACGTCCAAGTTCTCTAAATCTAATTGAAACAAAGGGAAAAAGTTAGTGGAGAATTCGTGTAGTCTGAATTGATTTGGCCACGCGGGACTTTTATGAGTTGCTTTCGTTCGTAATCCTCGTATTTGAATGATCGTTTATCTTAATGATTACAGCACAATACCAGCTATACAGGAATACAGGAGTATACAGAAAGATACAGAGAATATGCAAGAGGAAGTGTAGTCCGCTGGAGAGAGAGAGAGAGAGAAAGAGAGTCGGAAAGAGGCAAGCTTAGAATCAACCTCTGACATTTATATACATTTGACCAAAGGGCGTGTTTAAGGTCAGAATAAAACAAAGTCAAAGCTAAGGTTGGGGACTCCAGATGAAGATTAAGGAGCTTACGTTCAAGATTAGGTCACTTAAAAAGGTCAAATACCAAAATAAGCTGGATGGGTGACTAATTCAAAAGTGCAAAGAGAGGTCATTAATGTCACGGTAATCATGAGAGTTATCGGGCACTTACTGTGAACATGATCCAAAGTGCATCGAAAGTTCAATCGTCTTTCGATGCACTTACATAGACTTACGAAATTAGGATATACGGATTGAGTGTAGCAATATAAATCAATAATTTACATTTGAGAAAAGGTAGATAGCATTCGTTATATTGTGGAGAATGTTGTCTACACTACTAGCATTTTCCAGTATATTCAATACTCAGAATTCACGCCCAGCAATCTCTGAACAAAGTGTAATTAAGGAAAAATTTCACGCTTAACATGATCTCTTGACCCTGATGAAGTCATAGAATGCGCAGAATTGGCTGCATTCGATAGTGAATCAATATGTCTTAGCTCCTAGTGAATTTAATACAGTTTATATATTTACTTACGTGACCCGTCATCAAATATCAATTGCGTTTATCTCAGTACCTGTAGTATTGGAGCCGTTTTTCGTTTTCTTCTTTATTTGCGTAGAATACTGGTCGAGCATGTCTCCTTGCAATTCTGAGAATAGCCTGACTGTGGCGTTTCCATATGGCGTTCTTGTTGACCACCGGAGAATGTTGGGGTGGAGCTCGGCTTCACGGGCGCCGCGACGAGTCTCGCAACCACTCGGCCATTCCGTCCCCCCCTTCAATACTAGATATCAATAGTAACATTGATTATGAATTATCATAACATGTAGATCAATTATTAAATAGCAGTAAATTAATTGCATCAAAGAAATAATGAAACCACGAGTTTTCACCTATATGGTGCAGTCATCTCGATGTACGATGACGAAATTCCGATTTCCTAAAGCCCATTAAGCAAATTCGTTTTCCCTTTTTTGCTCATAAATCGAATTTTGAACAAAGTAACAAATGAACAAGCAGGATTCCATCTAACAGGACAGCGCTACTTCCCAATATAACCTCTAAGTGAACAGCTATTGCCTTGGATATTTCAAACCATAGATCAGTCCTCTGGTTTTTTTAATCTTTAGTTTCAAACTTGCTTGGATATTAACTCTTCCAGGGGCGGAATTCACAGTTTTTTTGTGCAATAGTTTTTCATAGTCTTTTCCCTGGCGCAGATATTTCATGGAGAATTCAATACCGGGCCTGATTCCTTCAAATGTCTTCTTAGTGTGCTGTAAGAACGAAGAGCGAAATACTGTTCGGAACAAAGTGCACAAAGTCGGATGAACTCTTATGTGCTTGACATTTTCGCCTGACAAAACTTTTTCACTAACTTTTTAGTAGTCGTGCAATAGCTTGCGAAACTTGAATTTCATTACTAGGCTTGGTTTCTGAAAAAGCCTTCTTAGTTGCACAAGAAAGAGGAAATTGCGTTTTGCTTTCGCAGTAGTTTGCCTACTGTTTCGATAGAAAGACTTTATGGTTACGAAAAGATGGAACGTCACCAAAATTTTTACCTAATATTTTGACGGAAAAAGGAACGCCCACGTCTCTTAAAAGCACGCAATTTTGAATGAGATAGCTATATCCTTGAGAAAAGAACATACTTCCAGCTCTTTTGCACGTTTCAATCGCTAATGTTGTATTAGTGTAGCTCGAAAATACAAATTTTACAACATGTGATTTCGAAAAGAAACTTTTACGCACGTATGTTTAGTAGACAGCTGTTGTAAGCTTAGAGAGATAGCGCGTTCATTCTTTCGAGAGTACTCTGGAAAGAAAAGCGTATTCATGACCACATTTTCGCATCTGTTGCCGATCTTACAATTTCTTTAGTGAAAGTACTTATTCAACAATCAACGGCTTATACAATCAGTATCGATCAACAACAATATTTAGCGACAGCACCGGTGAATTTACTCTTCATGAATAGAATTTATACTACTTACATTCAATAGTCAGTACGTTCTGCAACAATCAAGAGTTAGCACGTTTTCGAATAATCATCTTGTGACCTGGGTGGCCTTAGTAGCCTCGAGTGGGTGTGACCCTTTCCAGAACTTGTTACCTACACCTTGAATCCGTTGGACGATTCTCTGACCGCAGTTGATGCAGACTGCCTTGTCTTACAACCTTTGTTTGTCGCGCAAGATTAGATGTGTATACCTGAACGGTGGATTAAACTTGGTGTGCCAAAACAATAAACTAACACAAATTTGAACTATACATTAGTTCCTCTCAAAATACAAATGTGGCTTATCGCACAGAATCATTCCGTAGCGCTCAAGTATCCGTTCCTTTTGCGCACACATTGATTATGAAGTAATTCTAAATGAACACCAGTGAATTAAACCATGAAAAAGATGCTCGTATTGACATCACTGGAGTTGATATCCGTAGCAGACAGGCGGCGGATCATGACTTCCATATTCGGTGGTGGGTTGCCACAACTAGCTAACTGAATATGGTCACACTTGGAGAAGTATACACTAGATTAAGTGTAATCTATTGTGCTTTTTCTGTTGTTTTTTATTGATAAATTGACATCATTTTTACGATGAAATGCGGTGAATAGCTAAAATCAGTGCGCAATCTTCGATGACAAACGTCGCCACTATGGACAATATTTATAGCCCAAAAGAGCTGATAATAAGGAAGTGATTCCCATAAAAAGATAGACAAAACTTGTTTCATTTCTCTACTTTCTGAATGTTCATCAATAATGGAAAATTGCTGAAACTTATCGATGAAGTGACATCGCATACTTGTGCAGTTCCAATTTTGATAAGCCATGCATATGTTCAAGCTTTCCATAATTTTTTTTGAGTATTAGGTATCTCAAATACACTTAAAAGAATTGAGTCGTAAGCAAGAACCCAAGCTCACACGTGAGTTGAACTCGCCTATCACCCTGTACGGGTAGCGTGTGCTACCACTACATCCCGGGAGAGGTGGCCTCGGTGTTGTAGTGGTAACACGCTCTACCCGTATAGGTGAAATGCGGGTTCAATTCACGTCTGAGGTTGAATTTCATGCTTACCACTCAAATATTTTAGGTGTATTTCAAGCATAATGACACTGCGAAAAAGTAGTAAAAGAATAAGAGACAGTGAATTCAGATATCTTGGAATAAGGTAATATTGGAACCAAGATATTTTTTTTCTAATAATCTTTCCACAACTTATTTAATTCCTTCAATGCCAAAAACTGTATGATTTTATAGTGGACAAGCACATTATCATCACTCATAAAGTTTTATATGCGCCAAAATCATGGGAGAGCGAATAGAAGAATACTGAACAGCGCAAAGGATAGGAGAAACTTATAGATTTTCTCAAAAAAAGAGGGCCTCATGAAAATTCCAAAAGGATAATTAGCGAAAATCTCGAGCCGCTTCTAAATCACGCTACACCCTGCTATTTCATCGATTCTTGCCAAAGGGCTAAAGTACATAGTAATTACTTCATATATGTAATTAGTACAACAAGGAGAAGTCTTTTCCGTGGATCTCTAAGCTCTTCATCGTAAATATCTTATCGTTGAGAAAGCTGCCATTATTTATTGGAAAACTATAATTGACGATAGTTGTTTTGCTCATAACGTTGGTCTATGAATTGACCATTATTTTTAACGTCAATCTTTTATTTTACTTCTTATCTTTGCTCACTTTTCTTATTTTTAATTTTTATTTGTTGTGGCTTCAATTTATGGGAACTAGAGAATTCATATGTTTTTTCGTCAATGAACATTTTAGATGTCCATGCTAAGCGACAGTCGTCAGATCTCATTTTCACATTAAAATTGTAATTCTCGAACAATTTAAATGCTATTTGCAGAACAAAAAAGCAATTAGAAATAACTAATTTGATATCTCATCACGTCGTGCTCCCTATTTTCTGAAATTTCACTTTTCCCCTATTAATTGCAGTCAACGGTATGTTAAAAGTTGGATGAATATCCTTCGTTTTTCTTCAATAACCTTCTTTCTCATTTTTTCATACTGTTCACCATGTCATTTCAAAACTTTTTCTAATTCACCAATTCTAGAGCCATTTCTTAATGCTATTTACTATTGAAAGTGAAAAAAGTCACATGTCCAAAATTTAGAGGGTGCAGGCAACGATCGACAAAAAAAATCACTTCATCTCCAATTAAAGAATGGATTTCGTGTGAAGACCTATTTATTATGTTTGAACGCGACGTTATTCAGATTTTGGTCTGCTTTGCACTCTTTTCATATTTCTTGCTTATGAAAAATTTCGATACAGCAATGGTGAAATAATATATATATATATATATATATATATATATATATAAACGTATATGTAGTATATGTATATATATATATATATATATATATATAATATGTGTACACATAGACGAGAATAAATTCCAAAACATCGATTCAGAAGCAGTGATAGAAAAATACTGAGTTTCATGAGAATCACATTGCCCATTTACTGCTGAGTTGCTTCAGTCAAGTATCTTGTTTTTCAATAGTTATATGCATATACTTTCACTTGATTGATTTAAAAAAACCTCTTTATAGAGCTTGGATACGTTTTCACAGACTTTTTAGTGAGCCTTTTTCAAGGTCATACTTTTCGAAAAAAAAAAAAAACTCTTCAGGCAAAATCAACTCTGTGGATTTTGAAATATTTATTCAAACTAAAAGTATTGCGGTGAGGAAACTACGATCTTGAAAAAAGGCTTTATAAAAAGAGAAAAGAATGTAAAAGAGTCTCAAATAAAATAATTTGCAAATTGTGTAAGAAAAGAAGTTCCGAGAAAATTTCATTAGAAGTTAGAAAAAGTTCCTATTTTTCTTCGAAATTCATTCGAGACGAAGCCATTATTCCACTGCTAAACCAAGAAGAAAAATTTTCACACAAATACGTTATAGAAAACTGTAATGTCAGAATTAATTTCGGTAAGTAAATGTAATTATTGGGGAGCGAGATAGCGCAATTGCTAGTGATGCATGATATCAAGAGGTTGGTAAGAAAGGTGCTGATTCAATATCCCTTTCAAGTATTCTCTTGCAATCGACTTACTTAGCGCTAAACAACGCCTCAACTTGGCTACCTCGAAAACTACAAGAGAATTTGTTTCGACCAACATTCTACGACACTCATAAAGAACGCATGATCCTCAAACAACAGCCGAAGCAGCACGTGAAATACTCTTAAACTTTTATGGAGGATGAATGCGAGAAAACGAAACGAATGCAAGAAGTGCTGCGATCTGCTCAGCAGATTGTGATGACGAGTCGCGTGAAGTAAAAGCCAAAGAAATCAGGTTACAAATTTATTGGTAATGATTTCCATTGAGTCTAATTGTGATTATCTGCTCTTCTTTCGCCCTCCTTCAGAAACAAAAATAATTTAGTCCTTTTGTTTGTCGCTCTCTTTCACATGATTCATTTTGTTATCAACGTTTTACATCTTCATCTGAAGCACTCTGAAAATGTTCTGTTCTGGAATTCCGGTTCTACGTTTCTGGCGTAACACAAGCGATCACTTAAATGACTTGATGATATTACCAACAACTCTGATGTGAAGAAAACTTACTATTGTCGCATGACAATATGTTGAAGAAATATAAGTTTCTGTAAGATTTTAGTGATGTGTTACTCTTGCGGATCAGGACGGTAAACTATATCCACCATTTCCTTCCCTGCAGCTTTTCAGAGGTTTTACTTCAACTGAATTGCACTGAGTGTGTTAGAAAATAAATTAATAAAAATTGTTTCCAAGAAAATTTCTCGCTCATTACCATACTCAAATGATAAACAAATATATTTTCCCTTCATCGTTTCACTTCATTTCAAGCATTAAATGAAAAATAGAGGATAAAGCAGCTTTTTGATGATCATTCTATTAACACGTTCTAACGCTAGTGAAGAGCTGTGGTCCCATCAATCAGTCTCGACGAATGGCTCTCACACTTCAACCTGAAGTAAAGTCTCGCCGAGAAGCACAACCACGAGGTGGACATCAAGCTCATCAAGCACAAGAACCACTATGCTAAGGGAGCGGTGCTGAAGAACGAGATGACATTGGTAGTGCACATGAAAAAGTGGGAGGACCCCAATTCCCACTTGAGCACAGGTTCAAACGAGGCACACACAAGCACTACGTGGCCGGGTATATCGCTGAGTAATACTGGAGAACGAACGTCCGTGTGGGTAAGAAGGACCGCATCGGGAGCTTCTTCAAGCGGATCGCTCAGCTACCCGTCTACGAGGTCAAGGAGCCAGATGGCGAAAGCAATGAGTATGCACATTTATGGGACCGCAACTTTCCACTAGGAATTACGTTCCGGATAGTATTGACGCCATGGAGATACGCAAAATTGAGCATTTTCTTGAGCATGCCATTCAATCGATATTTTTCCAACCTAGAATTTCTATTTTTTCTTTTTTTTGGGCCAAAAAATCGACCGATTGTCTGTAACTACCGCTTTACCACATCTCTCTTGAATCCTAGGGTAAATTACATTGCAACGGGTGCACCAAAATCCCTTTTCTGCTTTTTTCCTATCTGTGGGCCGAGCAATAGAGCAACTGCCTCTAGCCTTCAGTTTAACGCATCTTCTTCCTGAACCTTCTAAAAATATACACTGAATTGAGTGCATAGAAGTACAATGTGGCGTCCAAAATGAAAAGCTCTTTTTTACGCAAAGTGATAAGCGACAATCTCATTGTTTAGTTTTGGATGCTATGATAGGCAGTCAGGAACAGATTCCACTGTATGACATTGAAGTGCAAGCTTTTTTTTGTCACACTATGTGTCATTTTTACCAAAAAAATGTCACAGTATTATGATGATCATACTTATTTATAACACCAGTCACAGTCATCTGTGTGAATCTGTCGATTTTAACCCATAATGGTCTAAGCTTTGTTCATTCTGCAGCACTAATCCGCTGCTCTCGTCGCTTCCTTCTATTACCTCGCTTACGTTACGCTCCTTTTCTCTCTTTTTTATCCTTTTCTGCTTCTCTATCAGTATTTGTTTATCTGTCTATATGACAACATGCCAACCTAACTATCTGTCTATTTAGTTTTTTTTTTTCTCAATTTCAACTCAAAATGTGAAAAGTGGCTGTCAAAATGCATTTTTTTCTCTATGGTCATACGTGTTAGTACAACTCAAAATAGACACATAGCCCATTGGAGAGAAAAAACAGAACTGCCTGAAAAGGATTCCTCTATGTGGGTGTGTTGGTTTCATTTCCGGAATAGCTTTTACATTGTCCAGAAGCATTCTATTTGCTGAACCTCTTCTTTCATACTCCATTATCTCATGTCTTCTAACTGCTTACCTCTACTCATCTCTTTGTGCGTCTTCTTCTTCGAGTATCCGTGTATCCTTCTAGTCACCTCCTTGTTTTTCCGTCGTAAAACACGGGAAACATGAGGTACTCTTTTTAATAGTCTACTAAATATCTCCACATAACTAATCTCTTTCGCTGTGAATTCTTCAATTTCTTCCCCATATCGCAGTGGTGTTCCTTAACAACCGCAAGGCTTTAACTAGAATCCAACCAATTGTGCATTGCTTGCTGTTCATGAATATTTCAGCTGCTCACTCGAATAACACGCAAAACACTAGCGATGTTGTAAATTATTCAGCTTTCCGACTTCGTTTCGTTGATCAGCTTCAGTCTGTTCCTGAATTTTTTATGCTTTTTTCGTAGCATTTTCGTTATTCACATCAAGATTAGCATGGCGTCCAGCAGACATAATTCTGTTTGATGACATTTGAACTTTTTTTTCATATATGCAACATTTCGTATCGGTTTGTAAAGTTGATAGCAAACAGACTATCTTCCCAATTACTTTGTTTGATGGATCTCCTTGTCGCAACTTGTGGGTGTCCCTTAGTGCCGAACCGAACCGCACAACTTGGGTTCGTCCTCCGGAGCTAGATCGCCGAAGGTGAAACAGTGTTCGGCATTTCAATTTCAAAAGCCCAGAAAAAAATTCTCTCTTGGAAAATGGGGATTAAAAACCTGGCAGAT